GTCTTTAGTGTTCGAAGGATTCTAAGGAGACTAGGGTTCGAACGTTGCTAAAGGTTCTAAGGATATTCTAAGAATTCTAAGGGTTCTAATGATTCTAGAATTCCAAGGTTCTATAAGGATTCTAATGGTTGTAAGGTTCTAATGATTCTTAAGAACTCTAAGGATTGTAAGGATGCTAGGGGTTCTAACAGTTATAGGAATTCTAAGAGTTCTAAAGAGTCTAAGGATCTTGAGGTCTTTCAGGGTGTGATTTTGCTTTTTTAAAAATGCTTTCAAAAAATCACGACAACCGCGTTGTTAAAATCTGCCTGTTTTAACTCGTAGCTGGTTGCGCAGTAACTTTTTGGTGTCACAAAGTGTCGACGTGAAGTGAAATGACTGCTTTGTTGTATCTACACGGCGCGGCGTGGCGATATGACATATAATCTTTGATCCAACCACAAAACACATAGGGATCCAACCTAATTTTCGTTTTCCACTTGCATTCATTTCCCATTTGTAAGATGCAACTTCCATTAAAATCGTAAAATCCGACCACAAATATGAAAGATAGCGTTGCATAGGTGCAATCCATTTTTGACGTGCAACCCTAAATTTTGAAACTAACCTTAGATTTTCATTTGTTCCACGTCACAAGTGGCTATGTATCAGATTTGATTTACATACTTATATAAATAAAAAAGTTTTCGTACTTCCGGGACTAAAGTAACAACTTCACTCCATTATGACAAGTACTGAAGTGTCACTTTTTGTCCCGCCGGGATTAAATTTAGACGAAAATCCCGGAAGGATGAAATTACTAACAAGGCAATTTCAGTAGGTTGTTCCACATTTTGTATGCGGCACTACTTCTTAAACGCATCGTACTGCTGCTCATATAGTTTTTTGGATTTCGGTGGTATCAATTCTTTTACTCACAATCGATCATTTAAGGTAAAGTATATAATTCAACAAGGTGTTACTTTAACTGTCAATAATAGTGACACCGCCAATGTAACCATTAATGTTTACGACAATAGCAAATAGTTTCGTTCTTCTTCGTAATTTGCTATTGTTGTAAACATTAATGGTTACATTGGCGGTGTCACTATTAGTATAAGTTTCATATAAGGATAATATGAATAGCATTTGCAGGTAAGGAAAGTGACAGATGCTAGCCGGGAAAGTGACAGATGCTAGCCGGGAAAGTGACAGCTAGCCGGGAAAGTAAAAAGGTGAGTAATGAGTCGCTTCGCAACCGCTATGAAGGTTAGGAATTCAGATAATACTAACCGATTGTGAGTAAAATAGTATACAAACCTCGCTGGTCAGTGGTTCATAACCAACGCCTCGCGCTTATACCTCACCTCCGCGCTTCGCGCGTCGGTGAGGTACCTTAAGCCCTCGGGGTAGGTAATGAACCACCTCCCAGCTCGGTATGTAATCTACTATACCTACTTTGGCCGCTTTTTATCAATATCAAATACACCTTTGTCACCCATCACCAAAATTATGACACTAGCAATGACAGTTTCCAAATTATTTTTGTTACCATGGCATAGGGATTGTCATACCAACGCAACTCCATACATATTAAGTGTTCCAGTTTTGGAAGTACGAAAAATATCGTATATACCTTGCGACTGAAGTAGTGGTCTTAATCCCTCAGGTAAATTACTTTACTTTACCTTCGGGATTAAAAGTACTACTTCAGTCCCGCGGTATATAATATACTATTGCAATTCGGTTTATAAATGGTCGAATTGCGAAAAGAGCACAGTGAATTTTGAATCGATCCGACTCATACTTTTGGCATTGCGTATTATGTGGCTAAAGCTATGCTCATATTGAATTTCATGTAGAGCGATCGAGCTTTTCTAAACAAAATTATCGTTCACACAGACAAATAGATGGGCAGAGAGACAAAGGAACAGACGGACAGGCCAACATACAGACGACAGATAGCAATACAAAATTATAAACGATCTCTAGAATCGTTAATAAACGGCAAAAGTGGAAAATTATGGAACATGTAAAAAAACGGTTTTTTTGGGTTTTTTTTACAACTTTTTTAGCAATAAACGCAGAAAAAATTCCTTCCTTGGTGCAAGCCTCGACACCATAACGAACCAAATAGCGTAGAACAATAGCTCTTAAGATAAAGAACTATCGTCTCAACGGATGGACGGACGGACAAAGTGGCCACAATAGCGTATTTTTTTTATTCTTGTGAAAATGCGCTAAAAAAAGAGGTAATCGGCATTGGTACCGTTCAGTTGTGACGAGTCTGTGGCGTGCTTTCGTTTCTGACGGAAAGCTCGTACCGTGATATGTGTTTCAATGCACGTTGTCTTAGTATATGGACGTTATATCGTTATTTCGCAGGCGTCAATGGGTTCCGTCATAACATCAGTTTGAAGGTAGTGGGCCCCCGCCCAATATTTTTCACGGTAGAGCGAAAAATTACAATGGATTTCTTTTGGTTGGCCTTTATTTCATTCCGTAAAATCCAATATGACATCCATAAGAAGTAAGAAAGTAGTAGCCTGTAGCTTTTACATCTATAGTAAGTAGTGTATTATGGAAATGCTGATAACGGATTCAGATTCTCCGAAAAAAAAGTTCCCATAGAAGGTAGTATGGGAATCGTTCATTTTCGACCGTTAAAACTAGGGAAAATGAAAATCAAATTTGACATTTTAACTTTTTCGGTGATATCTCAGTTATTTTCAAAGATTTTTCAAAAATTTCAAAAGTGTTTAGTCACACAAATGGGCAACTCAGCGTTGCCGAGATTCCAATGGGGACTCATGAACCACCCTACACTCGTATACACTAAAAAAGATAATACAATTGACTGGAAGCCGCATTATCTATGGTGGAAGCACTGGACTAAATTGTGGCTGTCGAACTTTGTAAAAGTAAATCATAAACATCAATAAACCACAATAATAGTAGTAAAACCCTATATACAGGATGTAGAAACAGTTTACACAAATACGCACCATAGGTGCTAATTTCTTTATATCGAAATATTTTCTACCCTAATTAATTTAAAGTTGTAAATAGGTTTCTTGTAGGTATCTTTAAAAATTCAACATTGTTTGTTCATGGGAAGTAAAAGTATTTAAACAATGGTATAGGGGAATAGCAGAATAGTATATTGAAATTGAAAGACAAGTGTTACAATGCGACATATTGTAATACGACTATATTGTGGCACGAGTGGCGACGCGAAGCATTGTAATAAAGCATTGTAACACGCGTTTTTCATACTATTTTTTCTATTTCGGTACTTTAATTTAATAAAAAAAATCATTATCAGAAACTATAGGGAACATTAGAACTAACATGTTTTATGTTGGGAACACTTTTTATGCCGTTAAGTTTTAGGTTGGCAGCGTAGTAAGACTGACATTTTGAAGTTCAAACATGGAAGTACCCTAAGAGTAAAAAATAAGAGGAGAGAATATAACGGTGGTGGGAAATAGCATAACACGCGACGGAAGTCGTCAAAATATCACTTCCTTTGCGCTGGTCAGTATGTCGACTTGACGTATCATAAAACAGAAGAGACGTCAGCTGTGTTTTATTACACCACTGCCAATAATGATGCGTTTCCGAAAACAGTTGTACAAAATCATCATTGTGACACCGAAATAGAAAAACTATATAGACAGATACGTACTATACTGCAACCGGCACATAAGAAGGGTGAAAAGATCACGCATCTCCACTATTCATATTCTATGAATGTTGTACTTATTAGCTTAGTGTATAGACTATGTTATTAGTGCGCCATGGTTCCTGTAGCCTCTGAATTTCTGTCTTCATTTGAATAAGTCCACATCTATTCCCGTATTCGTATACTATTATTATCTTTCATACTATTTTATTTTTGTATAGTCTAGATATATGAACATGGCAACAACCAGTTGATCTATGTCTTTTGATAACAGATAACCAAACCACTGAACTAAAAACACGGAATGCTAATGCAATGAAAATAAACATATCACAAATTGAATTCGCGCAGATGCACTATTGAGTTTGCACAGTAAGACACCACGAAGCCGCCAAATTAAAGAGAAATCAGGGCCGGCCTCTAAAATATTTGGAAGTAGAAGTACATATTGAGGAAAGTCAGATAATGAAGTGAATTTTGGGTATTCTTTTACTACATTACACAATAATTTGATGACATTATTTCTTAAAACAAAACAACCGTTAATTGTGTTAATAAGACCAGATCTGTAAGCTCACGCAGAAAGAAATGCACCAACATCTGATTCACGCAGAGTAAATTCATTGAATAAAAAATTAAGTTTATTCAATGGTAAATTGTCATTTTGTTCTCGCGCATCCTTACCCAATGGCGTTCAGGTTTGTGTATATTTCTGTGATAAACCCCTAAAACGGATTTTAAAAAGCGGCAGAGCACCGCATTATGACCTTATGGGGAATTTGACCCATTTTTAATAGTCTTGTTACATGTGGCATATAGGTCAACTGTGCAAAGTTTGAACGTTTTGCAGTTATCGTGTTCACGTATGGTATGGACAGACAGACACCATCAACTCCCCTATAAAGCTTGCATCGGTATTGCTCTGTCGCTTAATAAACTACAAGAAACTTTATTATATTGTAATTTATTTAACTGTATAAATATATTTATCACCATACATTCACAACATTAACAAGTACATAAAAAATTCAATAACAGTTTATTTCTGTAAATGTAAAGCAGTTGCTATTCGTAGACAAAAAATTGAAGTTCATCCATTATCATATGTACATACTGACAGGACAGGCTTACTGTATGTAAACTGATCTAAAGCTTGCATTTCTCAACAGTGTTCAATAGAAAACTTTAGGTATGCATATAAATATTAGAAAACTTACATCTACTTTAGGTATTTGTAGTAATTACATTTTCAGTGCATTTGTAAAGTAAAACCAAAGCATAAATCAAATTTTTCCTTTAAAATAATTCAAACTCTAACCAAAAATCAAGAGAGAAGTCAAAAGCAGAATTGTTTTTCTATTTTCATCTAGTAACAAGGTGTTTCTACATCATTCATTTATCAACATCACTTATTTTTTCCCAATCTCCGTCAGAACTGCTATTACTGCTTTTCGTTTCCAAGTCTATACTGTTTGAAGATTCAGTTTTATTGACTTTTAATTGCGATACTTGTTTAAGAACACTAGGCTCATTAAAGTGGTCATCTTTTCTATCGGAAGATATTTGGTCATTAACTGCATTTCTAGACAACTCCTCATTTAGCGTATTTTCATTTCTCTTATCCGAATTAGAATCTAATTCTTGCGATATTTTTGTTTCTGACTTTTTATTCTTGGATGATTTTTTCTTTGAGGATTTGTTATTCGTATCTTTTTTAAATATTACTTCCTCATCCTCGATTATCTTTGAGTTTCTTTTCTGCTTTTTTTCATTCTCGTACTCTTGCAAAAGACGAGTCTGCTGTTCTTCGGTCAATACTATATCAGTTGCAAAATCTTCTATAACACAAGTTTAACTCAATATACAATCTACGTTTATTATTAAAGTTAAAATGCCTATCCACACAAATAATCCTAATCATAAGAGTCACTTACAGCAATTTCTTATTTTCATAGAAACTTAGTTTTAAAATGGGCCAACATGCAAATTATTTACCTGTATCCCAGTGTAAATCCTGTTGGGATAATTCGTGCAGCTCTTGCTTTTGCTCTCTTTTCTCGTGAGCTTCCTGCCTTGCCAGTTCATCTTCAAGAAGAGCTTTTCTGAACAAGTATCTGCAGGAGAAGAAAAGTATTTAAATTGCTAGTACATAGCAAGTAACCTTTTCCAAAACTGCTGATGTGAAACGTGATCGGGCACAAGCTTTTGGTACTGACTATTAAGAACGGTCGAGTTAACGAGATGTTTATCTAGACGATCATCATCTAGTTGGTTATCTATAATTTCTAACCAGCATTGATACTGTTTATCGAGCGATGGATCGGGCTCTTCCAGAAATGTTTTGTCATTTTTTTGCAATTCGTAAATGATTTGCTAAAAAAAGAAACCAACATAATTTGGATCTGTTCAAAAATGGAAGATTATATATTTACTTGTAACTTGGTCAGAGTGACGGCTTCTGAACCTTCAGTAATTAAAATGGCTTCAGTATCAGAATCATCGGGACTAGGATTGAAGACCGTGTTCATTTGGCCTAAAACAGAAGCGTTCATTCCAAACAATCGCAAAGAAGCTGCTAAAAAAGGCAACTTACCCAAAAAAGAACTAAAACTTCTCTTCATAGATCCCACAGTCGATTCTGGTTCATTCAACTGCAAAAAAATACACAAATGTACATGCAACATATTGTACAGGTATTGCAGAGAATTATAATAACATGGAAATAGTCGCTTAAACAACATTGAAGAATTATGAAATGCCATAGGCAATTTGTCAAATTCAACGATGACACTTGCTAACAACACAGAGGTAACAATGTTGTATTATAACTCAACAATTATAAAACCCGAGGTGAAAAATTCACTTGCTCTATATTATTAACTAGACAATTGGCTATAGTGTGTATCAGCCAAATGGTTCCACTTCCACTAGTTTCCGAAACCATTCATAATATTGGAAAAAACAAAGGGAGCAGCACACCCTTCTGGCTCAGATGTAAAAAATACTTGCTCAGAATGGAAGTTTTGTATTGTCAACTTTGGAATGAAAACGTTTTATTTCATGAAATAAAATCTTGAAGATTATGATCTAATTCTAACAACCTAACTTGATTCTTGGATCCAATGAAAGAGTACAACAACCTGTGTAATGGTCTACAGTCTCTAAAAAGAAATAATTTCTTTTTACCTTCTACAGTAGGGTAGAAATTGAATTTGACAAGTATTAAAGTACTTAAGATTATTTTAGCATCGTAAGCAAAGGATTCGGAATTATGGTGCGACAATTACGATGGGAACGCATGGGGAATACAATGAAGCAGCATCAGCGGTCACGTAAACTGCAAAAATATAAACGTGCAAATATTACGATTCATATGTAACAATTATTAGTACCATAACTTGGTCATTTTAAAAGCGAATTGGTCCTATAGTTAAGAGCTAAGTAAATTATCAACGCGAGTGAAGAAGTTTAGTGCCAAAATTTTTCGCCGATAAATGGAAAAGCTTCGTTCTCGAAGTCATAAAGTTTTCTATTGGTAAATGAACATTTGAATAGTCCAGCGCTTTGTTTTCACACGCCCACGACGGCCAGCTGTTGTATGTCGTATTGACAATTAATGAGATGTCAGTGAAATAAAAATGAACTAAATTATTTATTCTTTTAATAGTATTTTACATTATTAGCCAGGTAAGTGAGTTTTTACTGGCGATAGGAGAAGTTGACTGGCGAGCCGTCAGGCGAGCCTGTCATCTCCTAGAGCCAGTAAAAAGTATTACCTGGCGTATAATGTACAATATTTTATTTGTTACTCATTTGTAAACAATAGTAAACGTAAATAATTAGTTCTTAAATTGATCTCGAACAAATGTCTAAAATATCATGTTATCCATGTAACAGAGACTTCGCATTAATTCTGGCCAATGAAATTACTAGTTACTAACTTGTAAAATTTTTACAGGTCAGCTGTCAGTTTTACAAGTCAGTAGCGTTTAAACATGGCGTTTACCCGTTTGCGTTTTGTCTTGTTAATCAACGTTTACAACTACGAACCTAAGAAAATGTTCAACCATTCGCAAGATGCCAATACAAATTGGCACCCCTCCTCAGGTTGGAATTACCGAACCATCCTTTAATTCGTAACCGTTCGTTACACCTGCCAGTAGGGGACAGTACCAACGAAATTATATACATATCTCTACAATGGATTTTTGATACACATCATGGTGTTTTTCAGCGAGTTAATCATTTTATTTGTTACTCAGTTGTAAACGTTGATTAACAAGGTAAAACGCAAACGGGTAAACGTCATGTTTAAACGCTACTGACTTGTAAAACTGACAGCTGATCTGTAAACATTTTACAAGTTAGTAATCTAGTAATTTCATTGGCCAGAATTAATGCGAAGTCTCTGTTACATGGATAACATGATATTTTAGACATTTCTTCAAGATCAATTTAAGAACTAATTATTTACGTTTACTATTGTTTACAAATGAGTAGCAAATAAAATATTGTACATTATACGCCAGGTAATAGTTTTTACTGGCTCTAGGAGATGACAGGCTCGCCAGTCAACTTCTCCTATCGCCAGTAAAAACTCACTTACCTGGCTAATAATGTAAAATACTATAATACGCATTTGCGACATTTACTTTGTTAAATGTTTAAATAAACTAATTTAAAAGCTACTTTCGATATACGTTGGTAACAAGGCAATGTGTAGTTTAACTACTAACTTGAAATAGCGCCGTGCGATTCCTCACCATAAAATGTACTATTTTTGTTGCATGGCAATGTATTTCCCATGGTGAACATTATTCTGTTTTTGTTTTTGTAATTATTCCATGAGAGTATAAAGGCTATTATGATAATCTCAAATAAATATAAATTCGTATTTCGTTAGAACCGCGTCATATGATCAAACGAACATAAATAGTCTAGCGCTTTCATAATAAATAAAAAATGCCTTGAATCTCCTTATATCTCTTTGATCAAATATTGGCTTTTCAGTACTTTCACAAACTAAAAATGTTTTTCTCATCACAATTTGTAAAACAGTTGATTTTAAAAAAAAATCAAATATTACAATTGGAAATTAAGGGTACATTCTCATAACGTTTCTCACCTTTGGATTGTTAAATTTTTAGTGAAATCATTGAATTTCAAAACAAACACCAAAGTTCCATTTCTTTAAATCTAACCAAAACTCAGTTGGTGGGTTGAAAAGTTTTTTTTTCGAATAAAATTGTTTTGTGGATTGCAATTCAATTCCTGTAAACCTAAACGAATGATTCAAATTCTTGTTTCATAAATTATGCAAAAAATGATAAACAGATCAGCTGATATTTATTTGAGTGAATTGAAAACAACCGAATTATAAAAGCTGTAACAACAAATCTCACAACATCCTTCGTTGAAATTTCTAGCACGCGCGCCGCAAAGCACGCATAATTTGATATTCATGCTTACAGGTATGAAATGATTGCCGTGGTATGATCTTATACTTATTAAGTCCGTTTACCTTAGGCTTTATTTACTACACGACTCTCCAATATAGATGATGAAGTGACCTACAAGTTATTATCCATATTTGTTCACATAGGGATATTGTGATGTAAAATCTAGTAAGAGTGCAACTTTTTGTGAAACTTTTAATACCAGAAACAGAATCGATCTAGCTACGTTTGTTTCTGAGATACAGGGTGAATACGAAAAGTTTAACTTTTTAATATGTTATATCTTACTACCCATGTAAAATAGAAAACAGGTAAAAACGGTTTCTTTTAGATATTTTTACGTAAAATCCAGTGGCGTAGTTACAAAATTGTTTGGACCAACATTTCTGAGATTGTACATCGGTTTATTTCCGTTTGAAATTTTTGACATGAGGGTTGTTGTTGGCAGCGGGTAGCTGATAAGGGGTTGATTGTTACCTAGAAGTCCCCTGAAGACCAAAGTTGTCCCATTATCAACTATCAGGGTGGCTCGTTTTAATGGGAATGCACCGTCTAATGCAGTGACACTGACATGAACGTTAAAGATAACACAAAAGTGTCCGTGATCTTTCTTCACGAGTGAGTGCATGCTGATATATGTTACTCTTTTGAAAAAGTGTAAACTGTTTATTGATATTTAATTGCCACAAATATCCTGTTTCAATCATCTGATAAGGTTACCTAATATGAGAACAAGGTTAAGATTAGATATGAACGGATCTACTGTGCTAATTCGCCTGTCCTGTAAGTTCCAAACATGCAATTCAATATAATATACAGGATGATTAATTATTGTAATGTAATATTTATTAGCAACTAATACCAACATTGTTGCATATATTACTCTCGCCAGGAAAGATTGCCAGTTACAGCACACCTTATGTCGATCTACAACCTATGTTTTTCTTAAGAAGATCGCTCGCATCTTAAGAAAAACATAGAGTGGAGACCTGGATTAGGTGTACCGTGATTGGCAATCTTTCCTGGCAAGAGGTTTAGATGTGTTTTGTTTAGTTTTTTGATGGGGAAGCAGTTTCATTCATGAGCTTTTAAATGGAAAATACTTCTTAACTGCTTTAGCAACACAAATTTGTGTGTGACACCTCAGGCATGAGTTTAGTGTTCCAATTAATAAAAAATTGAATTCTGCCTAAAACCACCCCATGCTGTCCTAATATTTATTTCACAAAAACTTCATAAAATGATTCTAAATTTGGAACTGATTACTAAGGTAACACAATTAATCTAGTTAGATTATTGAAAAACTCCATAATCTTCAAATCACAAATATTACACCCGTTATTGTACATATGACACTGAACCATGGCCGAATAAAAAAAAAGTGAAAAACATTCACCTGTAATATACTGTCTCGCCATCAGCTTTATTTTATTAGAATAGCAAATATGACACATGATACAACAATGCCATTATCAAAATCAACAATAGCGAATCCGATATTACTCATATATGGCATCAAGTTTGTTGATACCTATATGATAAAAAATACAGAACTCATTAACCTATAGCAATTCAATATTAAGGCAATCGCTCACCTAAATACACCTAATGAACTAACCTTTAAAGTTTTTTCGATAGCTGTGCCAGTAGAAGACACAACACTACTCGCTTCATTTTTTACTGCACTTCCAAACTCCTCCAGATCCTTCTTAACGAATTCGAACACCTCAGTACTCTGTAAACAATTGATTAATTACCAGACCGATGGCCTATGTGTAGATTGAGCACCTTATTTTTCGCAGCACTTATCCAGGATGATAGCCAACCATTTTCACCGCTATAAGAATGCGCAGGTAAGAAAAGAGGAATAAATAGGAGGTACTTGTGCATATGGAGGTATGTTTGAGATGATGTAAGTGTTTTGTACTCACCTTTCTCCCATTCTTCTAAATAAAATGATAAATAAATGAGTATAAAAAACAAGAAAAATTTGAAATACTGTTACAATAGAAAAATTTAGGCAGGTTAATGTTTTGCTTTTGTATTTACATTCGTCGCCATTTTTAAAATTAATTGTCAAACACAAGCTGTCAATTTATAAATTTAGTGAAAGGTCGGTTTACACTGCAAATAAAAAAACCGTAAAGATGGGATTACACAGCGCTATAAAAAAATCCTAATTTTGTCGCCTTCATCTTCAATTATCTGTACTAAAAATTGATTTTGTTCAATATTTCGGATACTATATATTACACACTAATTGCAATACTTCTAACACAAGTTACTCCGAAACGATGGCCATCTTGCGATTGTGGTCACGTGATTTACAGTTAAGGCTGGTTTATAATTGGCCTAACCGTATTCTATAACCGTAACCGTAAAAATTCAAACATGACAAATCAATGTATCTGTTCACAATGCTAGGGAATAATCTCTTAACTTATTCCATAACCGTAAAATATGGTGATATTTTATAAATTAGGGAATAAAGAATACAGACAGCCAATAGGAACGCTTCCTGATCACGTGTGTGCTGTCGCAAAGCAACGCTAACTTCGTTTCAAAACTAAATCATCATAACCCAACTTTAACTTTCTATCGTTCATCTTGCTTTGTTTTTTGTTTGTTGACTATTTATTTTTATTTTATATTTGAAAAATTGCTCTCTGTCTGCTCCCTTCATTTGTAGAAACAAATTATGGTAGTCACCAAGCTCTCTCCGTCTCTGAAAAATTGGTCGAACGCCCCATCTACGCTTTCTCCTTTTCTTTTGGTTGCTACTAATATAAAAATTGTAAGCCGATCCCAACATGATAAACATGAAAGAGGCTACTGCTATATCTTCCTCCAATACATCCATGTTCGACGATTTTATTTAACAACTTAATAAATAAATAGGCAGAATTTCAACAATTGTATACAAAAACCAAAACTTCACTTTGACATGGTTATTTTTTGGAGAGCCAATAGTGAGAATCAAATCCCCCAGAATCGTTCGCAATTTTTAGGTTGATTATGAATCGAGCATGCCAGTTTTACGGATTAAAGATTGTAGATTTTACAGATTACGGTTAGACCAATTATAAACCAGCCTTTAGTCGAAATCGTTAATGAGGTAAATAAATTTACAAACGCGCACCGCACCGCACCAAGCCTTGCACCCTAGCCTGGTGCGGTCTAAGTAAACCAAGTCATAATTTCAAATCCGCGTAGCCACAACGAAGCCTCGCTCTTCCCGTCGCACATGGCACTGCACCCGTAGTTTCAAATAGAATGACCTAGTTTTTATTGATAAGTAATTGCGATTTATTTCCAGTGCACATTTCGGTAGATTTTACATTAGAAATCATTAGCATGTCTCGCTTGCATCACAATACACAATTTGTTTTGTGTCTGTACAAACGAACTCTAACTAGGCATGTGATAACTTATCACAATGTATTCGAATTTATAGTGTAGATTAAAATAATCATTGAGTATTGTAACGTTGCCCGAGGGATAGGTCATGCTAATTAAATGATCACCGTATCAACCTATTCTCACAAATGAATTAATGCTTCTTTGAAACTACATTAATAAACGTTCCGATATCTTCGTGTAACATGTTGTTCCACGTATTATGTGCTAAGGCAAAGGCTGTAATAATCACAAATAGAGATGTTATTGTCCGCAGCTATACCCAGCAGTTTATATAGATAATTTCCGAATTAATTTCTTGAAGCTACGTTCTCTTACATCTTCGATAACTTCCACTAACATGCTATAGGTAGCATATTTTTGGTTAAATTGCAGTAAGCACAACCAAGTCGAATATGCGCATCTTCTAAACGTGTTTCGCTTGATAGTACGCCTTTAAAATGAATAAATCAATTTCCATCTCCTTTAAGCTTAAAAAGTAAGGTTACGTGATCCTTATAAAGTATTTTCCCTTGATGTTGCACTTGAAAAGGACCTATTTGCTTGAAAAAGCATTGAACGCAAGAAAATAAAAATTCGCATAAAAACGAAGCCAATGGTTACCTTCTAAACATGTTTCCCAATGCTTTAATTAAAAAAAACTAAAATCTTTACGCGTCAAATATAAACTGTCTGCGGTTATTTTGAATTACCCTGTATTCAAATTTTTAGAAATTAATTCAGCTCTTCGTTGAACACCCTGTATTTACATATATCCTGTATAACTCCCAAACTGCTTTCGTTTAGGTCTACAGTTTGCGTGTTTTAAAAAGTTGGCAGCACGTTTTAACAGCCGGAACAATTTTTGTAGGTTATGTTGTCCATTTTGATTCTGAGCTACACGTAAAAACGAATGTAAATTCTGAATTAGAAATATAAGTAATCTCATAATGACCGCGTTTGAAGGTAGGAGCCAATTGCTACTCTGTTTATGGTAATAACAACTGTTTCAGAATTCGGTGTCCTTCCCGAAATAGCAAAAGCTATTGATGAAATGGAATGGACGTAAGTATTCATCCAGTGGCGATCTAGGAGCATTTCAACACTTCTTCTTTCCAGTCTTCCCACCGATATACAAGCTGAAAGCGTTCCTTTAGTGTTGGGCGGCGGTGACGTACTAATGGCCGCAGAAACTGGAAGCGGAAAAACCGCCGCTTTTTGTTTACCCATCATTCAAATCGTTTGGGAAACGTTGAAAGATCTGGAATCCGGAAAAGCCGCAAAAGTTTCTGCAAATACATGTACGAACAAAGTTGAAATAGGTATTTCATATTTGATATGTGTCTTTTAGCGATTCCTTGGACGATTTCGTTTCTTGATCGTGGTAATGCATTAGCCGTTGATCCTAGTGGTTTAAGGGTACAGTCTAGAGAGCAGAAAGAGTGGCACGGCGGGCGGTGTACCAGAGGTGTGCAAGGGGGAAAGTGGGGATATGAGGCAATGGTAACTGATGAAGGTCTTTGTCGTGTTGGATGGTCCACATTGCAGGCAAATCTTGATCTTGGCACTGACAGGTTATTTAACGTGTTTGAGTAACTATCTTGCTGATGTGTAGGTACCTACTTTCAGGTTTGGTTTTGGATTTGGTGGCACTGGGAAGAAATCCAACAATAAGCAGTTCGATAATTATGGGGAAGCATTTGGGAAAAGTGATGTTATCACCTGTTTACTCGATATGGATGATGGCGAGGTGAAGTTTTTGAAAAATGGTAATAATCTCGGAACTGCCTTCAAGATAAATAAACAACTGGCAAACTCTGCATTTTTCCCTGCTGTTGTTTTAAAAGTAGGTATTCCTTTTTGTTGTTCAGGTTTGTCACATGCTTCATTCTAGAATGCCGAAATGGCATTTAATTTTGGCGATAAACCATTCAAGTATGACCTGCCATCCGGTTACAAAGCTATCAATTCAGTGCCAAAGGATAAGATGGTGATGAATACCAATGGTGAGACTTCCGCTGATGTGCCACAAAAGATGTTAAATAACGCCCCTCAGGCGATCATAATCGAGGTTTGAAAATACATAACTCGATGGGTATGTGTAGCCTGTGTTTTTAGCCATCTCGAGAATTAGCTGAGCAAACTTATGAACAAATTCGAAAGTTTAAGAAATATTTAGAAGCCCCAAAAGTACGAGAGTTATTAGTTATAGGAGGTGTGAATGTTAAAGAACAAATATATGCATTGCAAAATGATGGAGTTGATATTATTGTTGGTACTCCTGGTAGATTGGAGGATCTGATACAATCAGGTAAGTTTGAGTTGGTATCGTTAATTGGCTACCTACTAAAAATAAATCAGTTCGATTGTATTTGTATGCACTAAACTTTTGTTCATTGTTTCAATTGTTAAAGTGCAGTCCTGTCCTGCAGTTTTTGAGATATTTTGCTCAAATTTGAAATAGAACTTATGCTGAAGGGTTTACATAATTGGCCATAATGGTAGTGGTGAGTGGGTGTTGTTTTTTCAGAGCCATGTTCCATTTTCTACCCCTGAACTTTTTTTTGATGCGCCATTGGTAGATTGTAAAATAAGAATGCGGTTTTCTGATTTCTTTGAACGCTTTTTGGTCTCTTGTTTCTTTTTTCTATTAAATATAAGGAAAATATAAATTTCTTACTGGAATAGTGGAAGTGAACAGCAGCCACATTTAAGGCTGGACAGTACACCTGTTCCGTTGCCCGAAAACGCGTGATTTCGTTCCACGATATCTGAATTCTGAATGAAGATGAAGAAGGGGTCGAATATTCCTGTGAAAGGTGAATGCCTTAGCTAGGCAATAACGCCGGGGTTTACTAAAATGTTTTAAAATAATCTTTTTTTTAAGGGTAACGTCGCGGGCTGTTAGGGTGCCATATTTTGGAAAAGAAAAAAGGAAATAAATTTTCCTGGCGTTATTGCCTAGGTATTAAGTTTACGAACTTATCTCAATTTTGGAAATTGTTCCAACTTCATTTATAGATGTTATCTTGGAAAAACAACTTAAAAGTTTTCCTCAAAATTGCGAAAAGTTAGGTTCCGCCACGCCGCTTGGTTTATACAGATAGAAAATGTGCATTATAATTGGTCTAAGTTTATGTTTCTGCCATCGATTACAAATTAATATTATAAATAACCAAATTTGGGCATTGACAATAGGCCACTTTGCATACTCCGTTCTGTATGTCCTGTCCAGCCTTAAGTGGAGATCTAAGTAAAACAATTTGAAAAGCATTTTTGTCAGTGACCGGTTAATTTCGTTCAAGCATTTAATTAACAGACCACCAATCACTTTCTCATTTCTAAGATCAAAGTCATCTTTTTTCAGGTTACATATTATTATCAAATTGCCGTTTCTTTGTGCTGGATGAAGCTGATGGACTATTAAAGGCGGGATATACACAATTAATTGAGCGTCTTCATCAACAAATGCCGAAAATCACCTCTGATGGACGTAGATTGCAGATGATTGTTTGCAGTGCCACTTTACACGCCTTTGAAGTTAAAAAATTAGCTGTACGTTGGGGCGGTAGTTTACCTTTGCATGTAAAATATTATCTTTTAGGAAAAATTGATGCACTTTCCAACGTGGGTGGACCTAAAAGGTGAAGATGCAGTTCCGGAAACTGTGCATCATGTTGTCGTCAATGTAGATCCCCAAAAGGATAAAAGCTGGTGCAATTTAAAAAAGCACATTCAGACGGATGAGGTACATTACCCGGTTAGGTTTGGTCATGACATGTACAACGAACAGTTTTTAGGTGCATGCTCAGGACAATGTCAAACCAGGAATGAACACCCCAGAAGCGTTGAGCGAAGCAGTAAAATTACTAAAAGGAGAATATTGCATTAGGGCGATAGACGAACATAAAATGGATCGTGCCCTCATTTTTTGTAGGACAAAGGTGGATTGCGATAACCTTGAAAAGTATTTCAAGCAGGTTAACATGAAAAATTATTCCTGTGTCTGTTTGCACGGTGACCGCAAGCCGCACGAACGTAAAGCCAATTTGGAGTCGTTTAAGAAGGGGCAGGTTAAATTCCTAATTTGTACAGATGTGGCGGCCAGAGGTATTGACATTAGTGGTTTGCCATTCAGTAAGTGGTGGTAGTCTACTTGCATAAATACTCAAATGTTTAATTTTAGTGATCAATATTACTTTGCCCGATGAGAAATCAAACTACGTGCATAGAATTGGTCGTGTTGGTAGAGCCGAAAGAATGGGTCTGGCAATAAGTTTAGTCAGCACTGTGCCCGAAAAGGTGTGGTACCACGGAGAATGGTGTAAAACCAGAGGACGTGGTTGTTGGAATACCAATTTAACAAATGTGAAAGGATGCTGTGTTTGGTACAATGAACCACAAGTACGATAATTACGTAGAATATAACATTTATATACATTACCATTGTTTTAGTATTTGGCGGACATAGAAGATCATTTAAATATAACCATTCAACAGATTGAGCCTGACATGAAGGTTCCTTGTGATGAATTCGATGGAAAGGTAACATATGGGCAAAAACGGAGACATGTTGGTTCGGACTACCAAACTCATACTGCACAAATGGCCCCTGTGGTAAAAGATTTGGCCAGTTTGGAAAGCCGGTCCCAATTAATTTATATTAACAACCATCTTATGAAAATGCGAAAAAAGTAAAGTGGGAGAGTGTTGTAATGATAATAACAATGTCTTATTTATTTAGCAATTATATGTAGATTGTAATCAATTGGAACTAATCTCATTAAATACTTTCTTAAAAAATGCTCGAATTTATCACAAACAAATATTCGTAATCTCCACTTCTTTTTGACCATCTTTTTGCTCTATATTCTGTGGTTTTGTTCGCACGTTACGTCACGCTAGATGCGCAAGAGCATACCGTTGTACAATTAGTGTATCGTGGTTTGTAATTTGCCATGAATTAAAAAAATATACATTGTTTCAAATGAATGTTTATTCAAAATAAAGAGTACAAAATGGAAAATTATTACGTAAAAATAATATCATCCAGGTGGCCACCATTGCTCTGAAACTTGGTCCTTAGATTTTCGAAAACCCTTAGACAACTGAATTTGAACGTGCAACTGTGTCGCCGGTTAAAGGAAGTCGCGCTGCTGGCTGCTCACCAGCGCTGTACTGCGTCCCGTCGCGTGTGAAGGGGCACTAAGAAGACAAAATATCCATATGCTTGATATACAAAAAATGAAAAAAAAGGTCTTCACCTTAGGGGTGTCCGCTTACTAGAGCCATTTAGAGCGAAGCGCTTCTTCTTAAATGAAGACTGGGTACAGATGACAGAGTGCCGCTCCGCGTCGCTTCAATGCAGCGCGCTCTATGTTGAGGGTCTAGAGCTATAAGCTGCCGCCTGCAAAAAGAACGAACTAAATACAGAGCTGCAGTCGTAAAATTAGCAGAGGGTATACTGTGCACGCATCGAAATGATCAGAAGGTTTACTTTATAAAAACGGCTATATAATTTATTGTGTGGTATTTGTAGGTATTTGCTGCATTTGCATTTTAGGGTGCCACAAAAATGAGATTTTTTGGAAATACATTTCAGGACTTATTTTGTGGACTTTCTTTTTCTAAGAAGGTATACGCTAATCCCTCGATCACAACCAGAAGGTATACGCCGTATACCGCCGTATACCCTCGACTGCAGCCCTGAATCTTGAAAACTGTAGTAGTTAAGGCCTCGGACGGACGGATAAAGTAGCTATAATAGCGCCTTCCGAAAATGAACTAAAAATGCTGATTCAATAAACTTATGAAATCTAGCATCCCGTTTGCTATACCACACATAAAAGACTTATCAACTTGTTCGATGTTCCGCTTTTAAGATTTATCGGGCCATCAAAAATGAGTGACTGTCCAGTCGCCTTTGGAAGTTCGAGTTAAGTACGATTTTCCATGCAAACAGCAATTCCAAAGGTGACTTGACGGTCATTCATTTTTTTATCGCTATTTAATTTTGCGCGATACGATCTCTCCATGTAACATAACAGACACCGCGCATCCTGACAGCACACAGCATGCTAGATTTCATTACATTTCTAAATATTGAAGTACGAATTTCTCCATTTTTTTGTGCATCAACCGGATGCATATTGTAACGTGATTTATAAATTCGGGTTCGATTTATATCAATATTTATTAAACAGAACTAAAACACTATAAAATCCGTACAATTTATATCGATTATTTATATCATTCACACTTCGCAATTTATATCAGCTTTTCGCGCTCTATGTTTACGTACTCGTTCGGTAGTAGACTGCCGCGATGTTCGGTCCGCAACCATTTATACACGCAAGCAATGTACGCCCAGTACATTCTCGAATATTCCTACTATCGCGCGCGTAGAAAATTCCAGAGCGCCAAAGGCGACGTCATGTCTGGAGCATTTCCGTTACACTGCCCCCTTCTTAATTCTGGACGTCTCGTTCAGAAACTGCGTTAGTATTACTTTTTAATGCCTCGTGTCGGAATCTGCAGTCAGAGCCTGCTCGACAAACACCCTTCTTGAAAAAGTAACAGTCCACAGTTTTGCGGAGGGTCGTCCCCTGTGGGTTGAAGCAGCATACTGTAATTCGAACGCTAGTGTTTCTAAAACTCACTTCGATCATGGTTCGCACTATTTTCCAGTCCAACCCATCTAAACCACATCCAATCTTCGGGATCGCCAAGCTATTTATGTCATAGTATGCCATGAGTTTCTTTAAGCTTTTTAAAGCAGACCAGAGGTTTTCATAGGTGGGTTTGCCTTCTGACGTTTTCTTTGAAACCAAATAGAACAAAGAGCGTTGACTATCTTCCAAGCGCAGTACTTTACCCACTCGTGGTCTTTCCTTTATCAACTCGTCTATTCTTCCAAATCTTTTCCGGAATACGGAAGCTATACCTCTACCCATGCGAAGGTCTTCGGCGACACAATGGGCGATGGAAACGTTAACCGGAAGCTCAAAAATATTTTGACAAATTTCCTGAGTAACGCCAAATCGAGCTTTCTTCCGCTGGGTGTAATTTGACATAAAATCGTTAAAGTTTGGCTCGATCCCAAAGCTGCGTTCCTCTTCTCGAATACCTCTAACTTCTTCGTTGTTGTTGGATCCGGCATATCGTGCGAGTCGATTAATGTGGACAACTTTCGGTTTCCCGTGGTTCATTCTGATACGATATATCACGTCATTTATTTTCTTGATCACCTCATACGGACCTTCCCATTGTCTTTGTAGCTTGGGAGAAAGACCTCTTCGTCTCTGTGGATTGTGCAGCCATACCAGATCTCCAGTTTCAAAAGTTTCATTCACCGAGCGGAGGTTGTATTGATTTTTCATGCGATCGCTGGCAATCTGAATATGACTTCTAGCCAAGTCGTGAATATCGTTCATCTTCGCCTTTAGTTGGTCAACATAATTTTCACCTGCGACATATTCTTCATGGGGTTTACGCCCAAACTCGAGATCACATGGAAGGCGTAGTTCACGGCCCAACATAAGGCAGGCAGGAGTCTGACCCGTGGTCTTGTTGACGGCTGATCGATATGCCATAAGGAACAGGTGGAGGTACTGGTCTCAATTTTTCTGATGTTCTGCCACGACTTTTGAAAGATATTTACCCATCGTTCGATTCATTCTCTCCACCATTCCATCTGACTGAGGATGCAAAGGTGTTGTTCTGGTTTTATTGGCTCCTGCCAATCGACAAACATCTTGGAAAAAAGCCGATTCAAAGTTCCTTCCTTGGTCTGAATGGATTTCTATAGGAACACCAAAACGTGTAAAGAAAACTCCTTTACCAACACTTCTGCAACTGTTGCTGCCTCTTGGTTTGGAATGGCGTAAGCTTCAGTCCACTTTGTGAAATAATCCATAGCGACTAGGATATATTTATTTCCGCCATCTTGTCTCGGGAAACGGTCCTGCGATATCGATAGCAACTCGTTCCATCGGACTACCAACGTTATACTGCCTCATGGGTGCCTTCTTCTTGGAAACTGGTCCGTTTCCAGTAGCACATAACCCACATTTTTGACACCATCGCCGGACATCTTCTTTACGGTTGACCCAATAGAATCGCTCACGTACCCTTTGCAACGTTTTCGTAATACCAAAGTGTTCTCCGGAAGCGCCGTCATGCAATTTTCGCAATACTTCCGACACTTTGCTTCTAGGTACTACTAATTGCAGCGTCGATTCGGTGCCATCTTCACTTTCAAGGGTCCTATACAACAGGTTGTCTTTCAGAGTCAGGCTATTCCATTGGCCCCAATAACTCTTTACTTCAGGACTTGTGGCACTAATGTCTTGCCAGTCTGGTCATTGTCCGTGGCGCATCCAATTCAGAACAGTTTTTAAACTTGGGTCGTTTTCTTGGGCCGTTTTGATTTCGCTTGGCTTCCATTCCTCACTCTCTACAGTTGTTCGCCGCAGATGGCCAATCTTGTCTTCTATTTTAGAACAATCTGTGCAGTTGTCCTTGCACGGTCTTCTTGACAAAGCGTCTGCATTATTGTGAACTTTTCCAGCCCTGTGTTCAATGTCGTAGTCATATTCCTGAAGACGTTCTAACCATCTTGCCACCTGTCCTTCTGGGTTTCGGAACTGCAAGAGCCACTTTAGCGCTGCATGATCTGTCCTTATCAGGAACTTGCGGCCGTAAAGGTACTTATGGAAGTGTTCGCATGCCTTTACCACACCTAGGAGCTCTCGCCTAGTCACACAATAATTCCTCTCGGGTTTCGACAGTAGTTTGCTGAAATAGGCAATGACTCTTTCCTGTCCGTCTTGCAATTGAGAGAGAACAGCTCCAATGGCGGTGTTACTGGCATCGGTATCTAGCACAAACTTCCTTCATTTCTGGGGTAGCCAAGGATAGGTGCGCTAGTAAGAGCTTGCCGGAGATGTTCGAAAGCTCTTTGACAGTCTTCACTCCATTCGTACTCATTGCCTTCTTCTGTCAACTTTATTAATGGTTTGGCAATATTGGCAAATCCTTTCACGAATCGTCTATAATAGGTGCACAAACCGAGGAAACTTCGAATCTCGTGCTTGTTCTCAGGAATCGGCCACTCTTGAATCGCTATAATCTTCTCTGGGTCAGCTGTAACACCACCACGAGATACGATGTGCCCCAAATATTTAACTTCTTTTTGGAACATAAAGCATTTCTTGGGACTTAGTTTTAAATTGGCCTCTCGTAATCGTCCAAACACCTCTTTCAGGTTCTTTAGGTGTTCTTCAAAAGTTTTTCCTACGACAATTACATCATCCAAATATACCAGACATGTCTGCCACGTTAGTCCCCTTAGAACTGCTTCCATAAGTCTCTCAAACGTCGCGGGGGCATTACACAATCCGAAAGGCATTACTGTGAATTGCCAAAGTCCAGAGCCTATAGAAAACGCGGTCTTCTCTCGGTCTGTCGATTCCATCCCACTTGCCAATAACCACTCTTTAGGTCGAGTGTGGAAAACCATTGGGCTCCAGATAGAGTGTCCAAGGTGTCGTCTATTCTTGGCAGTGGATAGCTATCTTTCTTGGTGACCGAATTTAATAGACGGTAGTCAACGCAAAATCTTGTGGAGCCATCCTTCTTCTTTACAAGCACTATCGGTGATGACCAAGGACTATTCGATGGCTCGATGACACCTTGTTTTCTCATGTCTCTGATAATCTCCTCAGCTTCGTCTCGTTTAGCCAAGGGGAGTCGCCTTGGCTGTTGTCTAATGTGTTTTTAATGACCATATCTATCAGCTCTCTTGGATACTTTCCTTTAGATAGATTTTCCGATTTCACAGAGCGAATAGCCGAGATGGGCACACACTGTCCAACTACAGATCGTTTGCTTAGCTTAACAGGACTATCTTTCAAATTCATAATTCGAATCGGAACGCCAT